ATCTATCTATCTACCTATATATGTGTGTGTGTGTATCAGAGAGGCTATCGCGCTCACATCTTTGAGATAAAGCATACAGATGTTTGCACAGTGAAGGACTCACATTCTCTTCTGCTTCAGGACTCTCATTGCCTTCTGCTTCACCATGTTCTGCAATTGAAAGCAAAAATAAATAAATAACATTGACGTATTTGTTTTCTAGCCTTTTAAACACCCAAAGTTAACAACATGTGTCCTACCTTCGAGGGCCCATCTCTCATCTTTTTCAGCTGATCCTTGTACTTCAAGAGTTCCGCATCTAGCCTGCCAATTTTCTTTTCAATGGACTCAGCCCTCGCATCCACCTGGAGCGAGGAAGAGATCAATTAGAGGTAATGATTTCCAGCGTCCTGGCAGACAAAACACTGTGCTAAAACGCCATGCCTGTATGTGGGTGCATTAGAGGAAAAAAATTAGAGAGGTAAAAGCTTGGAACATAATTGAGAGCTGTGGTTAACAAACACATTCCTACTTCACAGTCCAACCGAGGCTGAGTGTCTTTTATTCCAGCCCAAAGTGCTGATTAACTGTAGCCTCTGAGCTAGTTGGCACGGATGCTGTTTTGACAAGCCTTTTGTAACCATGCTAGCTAAGCACCGCTCCGTTAGGTCGCACAATATGGACATAAACAACAAAAGCTCACAGGCTGACAGTACTCACAGTGCCGATACAGTCCGACAGGTTCGCAGGAGGCGCTTTGGGTTTTCCTCGTCCGAATATTCGGTTCATTTTCTAAACGTCAGCCTTTAGCTTACCTTAGAAAACACAAAAAGCATCAAATGCAAAGAGATTTCTTCATTGAAGACACCCGGAAGCAACGGTTCAGACGCAAAATATTTCCATTGGTTGGTGCAAACGCTTGTGACCAATGAGATTTTAGAAGCGCTATTGCCACTTAGCGGTGAGCAGAGGCACTGCAGCTTCCAGGGAGAACCTTTTGTCCCCACAGATTGCATCCACCATCAGGCTTTGTTACTCCCCCACTGCAAATAAAATGGCAACAAATGTAGGTTTTACTTAGATTTTAGATTTTATCTTTTAATCTGGTTCTTTCAAGAGCATGTTATTATTTATTGATTGTAATGTATAATCCCCAAAGACTAAAAACTGCTCTCTACAGAGTAAAATACAGAGTAGTTATAGAAAGGTTGGTACTGCTTTATAATATGGCATCTTTTATTCAGGATTTGTAAGTTGTAAATTTCATTACTAATGCTTTGCATATCTATTCTCAGTGGTACAAGTATTCAGGTCCTGCATTCCAGTCCATGTAGAGAAAAGGTGGAACTCATGCAAATTAATTCCTCCTGGTTCCTGTAATAGTTTTTAGACTTTTACATTTTTAAAAATTATTTCAAAGAATGGGCCATATGTAACTTTTTATAGAGTCATTACTCCAAACAGAGCATCATGCTGGTGCACTTATTAGCAATGCCTACCCAGAGCAAGAATTTGAACCTGCTAGTCAGCTGTAGTCACTGCATGTTTACATTTTCTCCATGTGCCTGAGTGGGTTTTCCTGGGGTGCTCTGGTTTCCCCATACAATACACAGACATGCATGTCAGGTTAACTGGCTGTATAGCTGTGATGGACAGTCCAATCTGTTCCCAGTGTCAGCTGAGGAGGATTAGGGCTTAAAAAGATGAATGGATGAATGGTGACTCCAATGGACAAGGCAAATCTGAGGGATTCTGAGATGTCTTTTCTTTTTTGATTAATTTAATGATTTCCACTCTGGGGTGTCAAACACAATGTGACGGAGGCTAAATGCTGTTTTGGGTCGGCAGGTTTTGAAAAATGTCTCTAGTTATATTTATCATGGATTAGCACGCATGACACTTGCTTTGACATTTTGGCTCCTTCCTTCCTCAAAAACTCCTCCCCAGCACTCCATTTACCTTTCATAACATCCCAACACCAGTCTTCATGTAGTAAGATATCTATATCTATGTCCTCACTGGGTGCCATTTTAAACAGTTGTTAATAGCCTGTTAATATGACATAATTACATATAATCTAATACACATAATTCTGTTTTCCCAGCACTTTCATTTTTAGCATATGGCTTATGAGGCAAGCAATGAGTAGGCACCTGTTCAATCCTTATTAGAAGGCAGAGCTTATTACTGAACCTGGCTAAATGTAACGGCTTTCAAATGCACTTGCACCTCGTGAGACAGCGAGTAGAAAAATGCTTTAATCTTTGTAATTATAGCTGTCGGCTTCAACAATCCACGTAAGGACTGACTGATTTAATTTGCCTCTAAAATCCTTCAGAATCCCTTTTATCTGTGCACCATTATATTTGTCAGCTGCTGTAAGGAGGGCCACCTCATCTGGAAGCCTTTCACAAATGGCAACTGTATAAATAATGAAAAAACAAACAAACAGTCCTTTTGTAATAAAAAGTAAATAAAAACCTGCACAGCCGATGATAGTGTTTGAAAAATAAAGTGTCTCATTCTTGGCTGTGTGGTGTTGGGGAGCGGCCTTTGTCGCTCCAAGCTCATTCTCAGTGTATTTAAGTTTTCCTTCTTAGCTACGAAAACAATTTTCTTATCTCTCATCAGCAGGATAACATTTTTCATTTGTGTCTATCCAGTGTTCCAAATATTCTTTATTTTTTTCTCATCTGTTGCAATTATTGATTATGATTTGCATTACAAAGCATTACAAAGTTATATATTGTTGAATCAACAACATCCATCCCAACCTCTTAACTGTCACAGAATATCTGACTTTATAAGATCAACATAAACAGTTTTCACGTTAGGCAACATTTTATTTCAACTACCATAAATAAACAGCGAGTGGATAGTTAAATTGTAGTAGAAATGGCTTTATGCCAACTTTTGATAACTTAGTATGTATTATTAAATAGAACATTGTTAACAATTTAAAAACAAATTAAAAAACCCAAAATATTGGTTTGTTCTTTTCCCCACACCTTCAAATAGTAATAACCCCGTCTTAATCACAAGCTCAAACACAAATCAAGACAAATCAACAAGATAAATAAAAAGATAGGAAGGTCACAGCAGCGCCAACATATCATTAAAGTCCTCACACAGGGGCTGAACTTACAGTCAGTGCAGCTTCTTCCACAAGGCTGACTACACAAAGTGCCATACAATTAGCACAACAAGCATGGACCTCTGCCTCTCCCTCAGTGTGTTCACCATGGAAACATTAACATTGTATCTGAATTGAATTTACTTAATAATACCTTGAAAAATAGAAGCACTGAGGAGGTGGGTTATACAGTCTTCCTACCACTTTTCTTGACAAATAAGCTTTAAAAAAAAAAAAACTTCCTTGTGCCCACACTGATTTAACTGAAGACTGAACTGAAGCTCTCCTTTGTATTCACCTTGAATCTCACATTTCTCAGCTTTATTGTGACTTAGTTGTGCATGTGTGAAACATGTTTTTGACATCCAAAGCTCAAAGATACATCAAAATATGTCCAAACATCCACAGCAGCAGCAGCATTAGATATAAATGAGCTGATATTGTGCTGCATCAAATAATGTAATAGCATTAGAGGAATAATTAAGAGAAACATATCATAACAACACATATCCTCTGTAAGATGTTAATCCTCTTACATAATGCTACAGCTACTAAGCTCATATGGGATAAACTGTACTTTAAAAATAACAAGTCTTAAACTGTAAGTGCTAAAATCTACCTGCTATTTTATTTTAAACAAGCACAACAGCTGAACTCTAGTGCAGAAGATAAGGCACACAAACAAGGCACAAAACACAACTTCTGCTATAACACTATATCTTTATCAGATTTAAACAGGTAAATATATTACATTACATTTAAGAGTTTATTTGATTAAATCTGGGTGACCTGATGGCTACTAGAACAGCTACAATAATAAGTTCAGCAAACAAGGACGAGTCAGTAAATCGTTTTACAAAGATGAAAGACAGACTTATCATAGACCATTACGAAGCACTTTGAACCATCTAAAATGAAAGGAATTTAACACACCATAAAAAAAACCTTTCGGTATTTGTGTGCAGTGAAAGAGCGATGGCCATAATAACAAACTGTTTCATACAGAATGTCTGCGGCTGATGAAAAATGTATGTAAAGCTGAAAGAGCCGATGTGTTGCCATTAGAATCTAATGCTCCGTGTCACATTTCAGCACATAAACTCACAAACACACATTTACCAAGCCCAGACTATGGTGACAAGTTGAGAGGAAATTTACAGTATAGACATTAAATTGCACTAAATGCTGAAAGCACTGTTGTGTAGATACAATACACTGTTGTCCTGATGGCGGTTGCCTTAAAGCCCTCTGCCCATTTTTTTTTTCTTTTACATGCGGTTCTAGTTTCAGAGTAGATGAGAAAAGGCTGACACTGTGTCCTGTTATCTCAAAGAGACTGCAGCATCGCAGCTCTAAATGTTCAAAGATGCAGTTAATACAGTTCAGCTTCAAACTGAACCTACAACTGAAGAACAATACCTACTGATGTTTTGACAACGAAGCCGTCGTCAAAGTCAAGCAGCGGGTCAAGGAGAAAATACTTTGATTCGCTCTCTTCAGCGTTTTAAGTCGTGAATATCAGAGGATTAATCCCTGAGAGGCTATTAAATATTCTACATTAGTTAACTATCAAAGTGAAAGGACTATTCACACACTTTTAACACCAAAGCGCCAAACTGCAATACACATCTATAAAACAATGACACACAGTAATGCACATTGTTCCCAACATCATCAGGGACAGTCATTTTTTTTTTTAATCCAGTTTCTTAAAGAGCTTTGATCTTATTCATGTTAATATGAAAGCCCAGACAGTTTACAGGTCTAGTTAAAAAAGTGTTTATCTTCTTTAAACATCTGGCTTCATCTTTGCAGTGTTGCCATCAACATTGTGAAAAGGTGCAAAAATTGCATTTCCTCAATTGGCCACTCGAGGCAGTCTCCAAAAGCGAGTCGTTCTCCACAGACTGCGGTGTCAAAATACCTGACTTTAATGTCTTGATGCATGCTCAAACATCAAGTTACTAAATCCCAACAGGTTGATTCACTGGGCTAGTTTCAGTCATTGTGCAAATGTACTGTTTATTAGGTTGGGGAAACCTAAAGTCAGCTGAGACTGAAGAAGTCTCTTGGATGAGTGACGAAATGTTTCTCCCACTGAACAGAATCAACCTTTTGGGACTCGACTTTAATGTTTGTAGTAAAAATAATGATTTCAATTTCTGTAGCTAATTTCCACATTCACAGCAACTAGACAGGGACGGGTTTTTGTCTTAGTTGTTATCCTGTTTGTAACTAACTCATTTTCTTTTTGCATTAAGGCTTAAGGATATAGACCTAGACTTCTTGAGTGTGTTTGTGGGGTCAGTGTTATATTTTTGATGCAATTTTCTGGCAAATAATATGGCTTTCTGAAAAGACTTCTGATTAATGTAGTGTTCTGCCTGTATATGTCTTATCACTATTTAGCAGGTATCTGCATGGGCATGATGATGATGCATCCCACTATCCTTTGAATATGATTTCTTTTTAAAAAGAAGATTAAAAAAAAACACAATAAAAAAGTAACATCACGCTTATAATGATAAACTTGCGAGTAGGACTTTAAACTCTTTTATACTTAAATACCAAAACCACCAACAGGTTCATCTTTCTGTCAAGATTTTTTTTTTACATAACTTGAACTGAAGCCTATTCATGTCTGTGCATCTTTTAAAAACTTAAGTCGTCTCTGTATACTATTACATACAGTTCATTCTTTTAAGGCTTAATTATTTGTTTTCTGTGGTCTCCAACACGACTGAAGTGCATTCCTTGGTGACTATTTTTAGTGAGAAATTAATACTTTTTAGTGACTTTAGTGACTCATTCATTGCAGCAGAGTAGCGTACAGAAAATTAGAAGCTCCAATCTTTGTTGGTTGTGGCCTTTTCATGGGATTTGTGTAGTAAGAATAAAACAGATTAGCACCAAGCTAATCTTTTAAGTGAACATGTTTTTGGCTTATTTGACCAACGTGCTGGATACAGAGCTAAAAATCTGGCCCTGACTCTGGCTTTTATCTCAGATAGCTGTAGTGATTTGAGTTAAGCCCAGCTCATTGGAGTCCTCCCAGCTCTGATAGGGCATAGAGGACATGTCCATGGCTAGTCATACGGGCCTGGCTTGCTTTACGCCTCCCCGAGCTTCTGCAGGGCAAGAATGATCCCGCAGAGTGCTTCTCACACGGCTCACTCCATGACAGTCACCTTGTCCTTGTGTTCTGGGACAGCAAAAGTCTCTGAAGCATCTCTTGAAGTTCTCATCCAGGAAAGCATAGAGGATGGGGTTAAGGCTGCTGTTGGTGTAGCCCAGCGCCACGCAGAAGAAGTAGGCGGCCATAACAGCCGTGGTCTCTGGGACATTTGTTGACAGCGTCTTGACCAAGATGAAGATGTGAATGGGTGTCCAGCACACCACAAAGACGGCGACCACCACCAGCACCAGACGGGTGATGCGACGCAGGTTGCGGTCCTTCTCGCGCGAGCCTGACAGCAGCCGCACGCTCTTCAGCCTCATGACCATCAGAGTGTAGCAGACAGTTATAATGATGACCGGTGCCACAAATCCAAAGATGAAGACACAGATCTTCATCAGCGTGTCCCAGTAGATGTAGGGATCAGGGAACTGTAAAGCACACTCTGTAGTCCCTGTTAGTTACATAAGAATGCAGTTATAGGAACACACAGCAGGAAATGCTCAAAATGACACGCTAATGTCAGGTTGACATGTTCAAAGTTACATGTCAATCTGACATCTTTAAAAATGCATAGAGATGTTTAGTGAATGGTTTTCTTGTGTTTATTAGCATGAAGCTGATGGATATGGAGGATGTGTTACTCTCAGGACATTAATAGCAGTAAAAAAAACATATGACTTAACCCTGTAACTCCAAACGCATTATATCTGACACATGAGTTATTGTGAGTTTTTGAGACCTCCATCGCCAGTGCGACTTCTTTTCCCCCCTGAACACCTAAATGCATTTCACAAAAATGCTGGATGTAGCGAATATGATTAAAAGTCATATATGCAAATAGGTATGTAAAGTCTTTTTTTTTTCTTTTTAATTGTCAGAAGGCTCTAAACACTCCAGTTTAAAAAAACAAATTGAATTTTTCTGGAAATTATTTCCCAGTTCTGGCTTTACTGGGTTAAAATTTAACTGACCCGATTTAGGTCAGTTAAACTGTTTGTAAACATTAAAGTCTGGCTATAAAACACTAAAATACATTCATAAGCACCATGAAAAACTGTCTAGTTTCTCAGACATTTTATATTCACAAGCCACTTGTTTGGATAGAGCTGTTTATCCCCTTTTAATGTAAATATATAATCAGCTGATCACCTGGCTGCAACTCACTGCATTTAGACATGCAGACAAGTGACTTTAAACATGCTGTTTCATTGAGAATTTCAAGGACAACCATGTCTTGTGTTTACGAGAAAATATCCAATGTGTTGCAATTCTCTGGGTGAAAATGCTTTTTGATGTCAGAGGTCAGAGGAGGAAGAAAAGACTGCTTTGATCTGATGAGACAGTAATTCAAATGACCAACTGAGGCTCGCAGGAGAGCATCTCTGAATGCACAGCATGTCAAACCTTGAAGCGGGTGGGCTACAGCAACAGAAGACCATGCTCAACCACTCCTGCAAGCTAAGACCAGGGAACTGAGGTGACAATATGCATGGACACTAGCAGACTGAAAAAACTGGTGAGTCTGGTGGGTCAGAGTTTGGTATAAATGACATGAAAGCATGATCCTGCCTTGTATCAACGTTTCAGGCTGCTGGTGGGGTATTGATGTGAGAGATATATTCTTGGCACACTTTGGGCTCCTTAGCATAAACTGAGCATTGTTTAAACACCTCAGTCTACCTTATTATTGTTCCTGAACATGTCTGTCCCTTTATAACTACGGTGTAGTCATTAACAAATTTCCCACATGTGGGACTAATAATGGTTATCTTATCTTATCTTATGATGGTTGCCTCCAGGAGGATAACACACAATACCATCATCCCAAACTGATTTCTTGAAAATGACAATGTGTTTGCTGTGCTCAAATGGCCAGCAGCAACTGCCTAGTGCTATCATGTCAATATGGACCAAAATCTCTGAATAATGTTTCCAGCGTATTTTTGAATCTGTGTCACTAAGAATTCAGGCAACTATGAAGGCAAACAGAGGTCCAGCTCAGCAGGTGTACCTAATAAAATGGTGTGTATTATGTTCTCAGTGGACATAGTTTGACAAATTTTTTCATGCTATTTTATCTTTTGTTGTGTATTTTATTTGTTTAATTTTCCACCCACCTCCATTCAGTTCCCCAAAGAGGAGTTATGCTTTCAATACTAAATGGAGGGACTTAAAGTCAAGTGTTGGCAAACGAATTTCCCTCTGGGATTAATATATCTCTGATTATGATTATGATCCTTTTGGGCTCCTTTGATTTCCTGTCCTGCCACCAGCATAGCTTAGAAATGACAATGTGAGAGAGATCCTGTGATGCATAAAAGTTGTCAATTGAGGAAGCTAAAGTCCAGAATTAGATTAATGAGCAAGTCTTTGGATAAAGTGTCTCGTACTCAATAGAGTTTCATTGTAAAGATGAATTTCAGACATTTGCTGAAAGAAAATATGTTCTTCTATTATAACCTTTCTAAAGGAAGACCCAATTTCCATGTCATAGCTTCAGCAAATCAAGTAGCTAATAGGCTGTCATCAGACCTATAGAACACCCTGTTCATTGAATGTGAAGTAGCCAATTGAGATAATTCTCAGCTGGAAATTACATAGAGCTTTTAGCATGAAATCGCATATGAGTCTCCTTAGTACAGAAGAAGGCAATTTGTCTCTACAGCAGACAGACTATAAATAAACAGTGAAATATAACCAAAAAAAAAAAACATATAAAAATTAGATAAAGAACAGATGTAGGGTCATACCAGTGCATGAAATGGTCATACCGTTATTAGTATTGGTGCTGCCCAGTATCATGGCAGGGATCCCAGCAGCCGACGACAGCACCCAGATGATAACATTGATGATCTTGGCCTTGACGGGGGTCCGGAAATCCAAGGCCTTAACAGGGTGACACACAGCTACGTAGCGGTCAACGCTCATCATGGTCAAGGTGAAGATGCTGGTGAACATGTTATAGTAATCGATGGAGATGAAAACTTTGCACGCTATCTCGCCAAACGGCCAGGAGCTGAGCAGGTAGTCGGTGCTCTGGAAGGGCATGGTGGTGGTGACCAGGGCGTCAGCCACGGCCAGGTTAAAGATGTAGATGTTGGTGGCTGTTTTCATTTTTGTGTATCTGGGGGGGAGGAGTGGGGAGAGTAGAAGTAAACACGATTCTCTTTGATTTTCTTTCATCTGGGGGGAAGCGAGAGTGATTAAATCATGTGTTCAGTATAATAAAGGGAAGCAACATGGGGGAAAACCCTGTCATTGTTTCCATGAGGTATTAAAGTCAAGCTTACATGATTATATGATAGGGAACACATGAGCTCTGACTAACACACTGTGGTCAGGGACATCTATCTATCTATCTATCTATCTATCTATCTATCTATCTATCTATCTATCTATCTATCTATCTATCTATCTATCTATCTATCTATCTATCT